ATAAGAATATAGTTTAAAGAAGCAACACAATCATACTCAAATTGTTATAATGGCTTCATAGTTCTGTTTTATGTATTTTATGTATTCTGTTTTATGTATTTATAGATTTATTTATTCTTTTTGTCAGTCATGGACTTGAACTTGGGGCCTGGGACCTATCTCTGAGTTTTTTGCCCAAGACTAGTACTCTACCACTTTGAGCCACAGCACCACTCTCAGTTTTCTAGTGGTCAGTTGGAGATAAGTCTCGTGGATTTTCCTGCCTGAACTGGCTTTGAACCACGATCCTCAGATCTCAGTCTCCTGAGTAGCTAGGGTTACAGGCGTGAGCTACCAGAACCCAGCTCTGTTTTTTATTTTATGTATGTATATATGTATTTAGTTATTTACTGTAATTGGTACTTTTACATGGTGGTGACAGAGAATCACTAAGCATGAAATAGTTTAAGATGAGCTGCATACAATTTGTAATCCTCAAGAGGCTTAAGGCAGGAAGATCACAGGTTCAAGGCCAACCTGGACTACACAGAGGGACCCTGTATTACTGGTGTCAACCTTAATTACCTAGCCCAGGCAGTCTTTTGGGTTTTCCCACTGGAAAGGTATTTTGTGCCTCTACCCCCTTGTATTTTGCATAGTCATGCCTAAAAAACAGGGAGAAGTATTCTACTTTTTAGATGATGGATTAGCTACATAAATTATGTAGAATTCTTCTACACTGATTATTTGCATATTCCCCTCCATCACGAAATTTCTTTACTTATTTGATCATTTATTTACTTCAGTATGAATTTATAGATATTCATTTTGTCCTTTGAATTGCACTCCAATGCTAAGTATTTATTTCATTATATCAATTGTTCCAGCCATGCTAGAACTTTTTTAGTTGGTTTTATATCTCTTTTGGAAACTCTCATCATTAAATATTTTTTTATCTTAATGAATAGTTTTCAATATTCTCATATATATCCCCTACCCCAATTTTTTCTTCAAGAAGCCCTGGTTTGGTTTATTGTCTGGGCACAAGGTGCTACTTGTGACATACTGTTTCTTGGCTCTCTTAGCTGACAATGGGAAATATATGTAATGATACATGTGTATACATGTATCTACAAATATTTCTATACAAAATCATCTGTACCTATACTAAGCTACACATGAGTTCATGCTCATATCCAATTCTGATCAATTACCTTCTGATCCTTCTAGCCTTCTTGCCTTCCTTATCTGCAAGCTCCTGTCCCAGCAGTGAGAAATCTTGTTTCCCAGCACCTGCCACTTACCATCTTAATTCCAGTTTACACATACAGTGGTTTCAGAATTGTTCATCTGTATACTTGTGTGAAGCAACATTATTAGCTAGAGTGACATTATTAGCTAGAGATGGTGCTTATGGAACTTCCTTTTGACTTCGATCTTACAAATTCCACCTACTTCTGAACTACCTAAATTCTCACTTTTTATATCAAAATGTACAAATAGCAAGATGTGTTACCACTTTTTTTTCTTAACACTAAGGACTGAACTCGAGGCCCCCTGTTTTCTTAGGCAAGGGATCAACCACATAAGCCATACCCTGAGTTCAGATTCACTCTCCTCAAAGTTACTTAGATCAGTGCCTTTTTTTATCCACCTCTTCAAAGAAAGTATTTTATACATCTTAATACAGTTAGATTGTTTAGTGATATTCTACATTCCATACTGGTATTTTCTAAATTATTTTTCAAAATTTTCATTTTCTAAAAGGCTCTGTGACTTTTAGCCATGAATCAACACCTCAGTGTCATACAGAATAGTTTTATCACCCTGTATGCCTCCTCCCTACTTACCTAGGGGGTCTTCCTCCTTAACACTTGGGGTCTTCCTCCTTACCTCAAGTGTTTGGCAGCCATTGCTTTGTTGATAATTTTTAAAGTTCTGCCATTTTAAAAAAGCTTATAATGGAATTATGTAGTATGTAACTTCAGAATGGCTTCTTTCACTAAGTAATATGTATGCCTTTAAGATTTCTCCATATCCTCTTAAGATACACATCTTTTTTTTTTCCAGTCCTTGGGCTTGAACTCTTGGCCTGAGTGCTGTCCCTAAGCTCATTTGCTCAAGGCTAGCACTCTACCACTTGGACCTTGAGCCACAGTGCCACTTCTAGCTTTTTTCTGATGCACATCTTTTTTTTTTTTTTAATCAGTCATGAGGCACTGTCCCTGAGCTCTTTTACAGCTCAAATTTTACAGCTGTCTTCAAGGAGAATAAAGGAGAGAATGGCAGAGAAGTGAACACCATGATACCACATAGCAGGCATTAGCATTTTACTATTTGGTGTCCTGAGACTTAGGGGAGTCATATTTCTGCTACCAAATAATTAAGAAGAAGCATCTTTTGTTTTGTTTGTTTTGAGACAGGCTTTGACTATGTAACCACGGCTGGTCTGGAACTTGTTATGTAGCCCACACTGGCTCAAATGTGACAGATGTATACTACATCAAGTTAAGAGACCTTTTCCCCCCTCTCTCTCTGTTTTGGGGATTGAACTTGGGGCCAATTGCAACTACACATGTGCCCTACCATTTATTTCTACCTCCTCACCTCCAGAATCCTTGTCTATCCTCTTACATGTTATCCTCTTACAATGGTGTGCTGTGTAGAAATTTGTCAAATATTGTGTGTCTGTGCACTGGTGGGCACTATCCTTTAGCTTTTTTGCTCAATGCTAACACTCTACCACTTGAGCTACAGCTTGACTTCTAGCTTTCTGGTAGTTAATTGAAGATTAGAGTCTAAAAGACTTTACTGTCCTGGCTGGCTTCATACCTCAGTCCTCAGATTTCAGCCTTCTGAGCAGTTAGGATTACAGACATGAGCCACAGGCACCTAGAGAAAACTTTATACCCTCATTGGCTTCAAATAACATTCTTTTATTAAAAAAAAGATTTTTGTAACAGAAAGAACAGGTTTAATTTTCAAGTGACATTTAATTTAACATGAGTGTAACAAGGACAGAAATGTGGATTTTTCTCCTTTTTTGCTTTCTTTGAAGGCAAAGGAGACCCCCAAATGCAATTTGACAATTCCTTTGTCTTCCTCCTATCAGTTTTGTTTTTTTTGCAGGGGTGGGGGCAGGGAGGGGTCTGTTGTAGTGCTTGAACTCAGGGCCTGGGGTGCTGTCCCTGAACTTTTGCTCAAGGCTAGCATTTTACCACTTTAAGCCACAGTTCCACTTCCAGTTTTCTGTTGGTTAACTGGAGATAAGAGTCTCATGGTCTTTCTTTCCTGCCTGGGCTGGTTTTGAACTATCATCCTCATATATCAGCCTCTGAGTAGCTAGAATTATAGGCATGAGACATGGGTGCATGGCTCCCTCCTACCAGTTTTGTTTGAGGTTCCAAATTCAACATGCAGCTAACACTGATCTAGCAGCTGCATCCAGGATTAACTGTACTGCTTTGTTCCTTTGCCAAATCTATTTGTGAAACAGGCCCTGAGCCTCATAATCATTGGAGTAAAGCAGACCACATAGCATGGAAGGTGCTGGACTTGAGATCTAGCGTGGGCCTGGTTTTGTGACCTTGGGCTGGGCCTGGTACTAGCTTTCTGTATCCTGCTCCTTCTCTGCAGAAAAGGATAAGTCACTGCCTTGCTGACTTCATATGGGCGTTGGAGGCTCCAATTAAACACAATAATGTTAAAGAGTTTTGTGAACTCTAAAGAGCTGTAAGTATAAGGTGTTATTAGAAGTGGAAAGTAAGCGATGAGCCAGCTTTAATTTCAACAATTTTGGATGCCTCAGCAGAGCTGTGTGAGCAGGCTGGGTATTTGCGTTGCCCTGTGGGGAGGGAAGAAAGGGCACTGGGATGGGCAGGTGGTGTTTCCTCTTCTCTTGGTAAACTAGGGCCATATTAAAATGCTTCCCAGCCAAGGCAGGAAATACAACAATGGTTTAGAGAATACAGCTATTCTGATGAGTTGGGATTTAACTAACAAGAAACAAAAAAGATGGCATGAGGGGCCAAAATGAGCTTCAGAAAGAGCACAAGTAGAGCAAGAGATGTGGCTCAGAAATGGAAGAAAGGAAGGAAGAAGGAGGAGGAAGAGGAGGAGGAGGAGGAGGTGGAGGAGGAGGAGGAGGAGGAGGAGGAGGAGGAGGTGGAGGAAGAAGAAGCAGCAGCAGCAGCAGCAGCAGCAATAGCTGGGACTGACAAAGGGCAGAGGAGGAGCAGCTGCTTACCCATTGAAGCTGCCTCTGTGGGGCCGCAAAGGAAGATATTTCCAGGCTTATAAGCAAAGGGGTCTGGAGTGAAGAGTTCAGGGTTCAGCAACCTTGAAGGCCAAACTTGGAGAATCAGCAGGGCTTGCTGTCCTAAACCACTGGTCTTCAATTTAAGAGATTATCAGGTTCCTTTGTGCCTACTGTCTGCCAGACAACATAAGAAGGATCCTGTTTTCAAATATTTTTATGCAAAACTCTAATGTGTTGGGTTAAAAAAAATTGAAGCTGGTAGGTTGAAACAAGGCTTTCAGGTCTAAGACCAGCAACTCACAGAGCACTTTTTCAGGGGTCTTCTGATAGGTACACGACCACTCACTCTCAATTTATCTCTAGCAAGTCATGCCTGGCCTGACTTGGCCTAGTAATTGCTGAATGATTAAATGGGATAGAGTAATTGCTGAAATGAGATAGTGAGTAGGTAATCTGAAGATAATTAGGTGAGTGTTGGTTTTTTTCTTTTGTTGTTGTTGTTTCCAGTCCTGGGAGGTTGAACTCTGGGCCTGGATGCAGAACTTGAGCTTTTGTGCTCAAAGCTACAGCTCTACCACTCCAGCCACAGATAACTTCACTTCTGCTTTTTTTGAGGTTAAGTGGAGATAAGAGACTCACAAACTTTCCTGCCCTGGCTGGCTTCAAACTGGAATCCTCAGACCTTAGTCTCCTTGCCCCATCTTGGACTCTTCACCCCCAGAACTGTGAGCCCAAGTAAACCTCTAGTCTTTTTTTTTTTTTTTTTAATATGGAACACTTCATAATTTTCGTGTCATCCTTCGGTAAGGGCCAAGCAAATCTTTGCTATAGGGTTCCAATTTTAGTCTATGTGCTGCTACAGTGAGCACTAGACCTCTATTCTTTACAAATTACCATCTCAGGTATTTTCTCATAGGAAAAAAAAAAAACAGACTAAAACAGAGGAAGATTTCCTTAGATTACCATGTGGGCACCTAGAAGTGAGTGCTAGAGGCAGGCAGTCCAGAGTCAAAGTGGTTGTGCTAACAGACAGATGAAGAGGTTAGAGGTTAGAGAGATGTGGTATAAGGATGTGACCATTGCTGATTCTGGAATATGGACTGGCAAGAAATAAATTCACCTCTAGGGCCTCCTGGCCCTGCTGATACCTCAGTTTTAGCCCAATAAAACCTATGTCAGACTTTTAACCACTGAACTGTAAGATTAAAAACCTGAAGTTAAGTCTTTGCATGTGAAACAATGTGTTACAGTTGCTACAGGAAATACAGGCAGATTTTGTCACTTAGTGTTTACAGGAGCCTTATCCGATGGGAAGTTCTTACTGCTATCTTGCAGATGTGTAACTGCAGGCCTGATAAATTTGAGTCACTTGATTCAATGTCCAATGTGTGGCCTGATTTCACCACACTGCCCCTGGAAATGGTTTTACTTCCTTGTTTATAAATGAGCAATTGAAACCCAGAGAAGTGGCAGTGGCGTGCCCTGCCCTAGTTCTCCCGAGAGTTGGCAACACAACTCAAACTGTGTCCCAGGAAGACAATCTAGACCAGGGTTTCATTGATGCAGGTTCATTAGAATGAAGGCAGATCTGGGCAGGGATCCCAGATCCTTTATTTCTAACAGCTCACAGATGAGACCTGGAACAGCAGATGGTTAATAGCATTCCTATGTCTGTCTTGGGGTCTGACCAACCAGTATCAGAGGTATCTGAGGTTCCTACTGTGGTGGAAAAAAGGAACCATATAGAGAAGGAGAGACATGGCCACTCGGGTGTGCAGTTTGTGGAGAAATGGATTTAGGGTCTTATAGGGAAAGGCCAGAGTTAGTGAGAATGTTGTAACTCTTTGTGCTACTCATGAGAAAGATGTCACACAAATGTGATGATTATTTTTGTCATTTGAAAACTCATCCCACAAGGGTGGTATTGTCCAAAAAGAAATGTACTCTTTACCTGACTTATGTAATTATAACCTCTCTGTATATTACCTTTATAATAACAATAATTTTTTTTAAAAAAAAGAAGCCAGGTTCTGGAGGCTCAAGCCTATAATCCTAGCTACTCAGGAGGCTGATATCTGAGGATCCTGGTTCAAAGCCAATCTGGGCAGGAGTCTATGAGACTCTTAACCTCTATCAAACTACTCAGAAAAAGCTGGAAAAAGTGTTTCAAGTGGTACAGTGCTGACCTTGAGTAAAAGAGCTCAGGGACAGTGTCCAAACCTCAGAGTTGGAAAGAAGAAGAAGAGGAGGAAGAGGAGGAGGAGGAGGAGGAGGAGGAGGAGGAGGAGGAGGAGGAGGAGAAGGAAAGAAAACCTATCCCAAACATTCAGGCATGAGTCTGATATTGTGAACAGCACATATAAGCCAATGACATTCTATCAGAGACCAAAATTATGTTTGCAGGAGAAAACACAACTCTGCTCTGCGTTTCATGTAATTTTTTTTTTTTTGAGAAACAGAAACAGAAACATCAAGTTTGTTCTTCCAGAAATCTCTGAAAAATCTGACAGAATCCAAGGGCTGCTAGCCTCGTACCTTCCTCTCCTTAGCCCCAACACCACCCCTCCAGGGGACTGTAAACTTGAAACCCAGGTACCATTCTCTATGACTGCAGTTGTGCTTTTCTGCATCTTCATTTTGAAAACAAGAATTCGAATGGGAGGGGCTGAAGACTCCATGTAACCTACTTCACTGCAATTGTAGGATTTCCAGCTGTCTGTGGCTAGCAGAGCTCCCTGCAGGCTAAGAATGTTCTGGTTTCTTTTTGAAACAACTTCTAAGCATACAAACAAGAACTATTGGCTTTCAGACCCACGAACTCACAGAGGAAACACACACTGGGCTGTTTTCTAGGCGTACAGAGTGAAAACTATGTGCAGTGACTCTAAGATGAGATTTGTTCCCCTTGAGACACATGGTCAGTCTGTCCTGCTCTCTCATGTATTGATTGCATGGTAGGCTTTGAAGGTATTTCTAAAATAAGTTTTCTATAAACTGTCTCCACTCTGGGGTTTACTTAGAAAAGGAGTATTAATTCTTCTGGAATGAATAATATTTTGGTGAGCTGTCTGGATTACTCAGCAAGTATCCAGAGACATTATGAAGTACAAAGAAGGTGTTGCACTAGATCCTTAAGAAAAAATTTTTCTTTGCTTCTTGCTAGGGTTCAGTGCTCATGTCTAGATGCTGAGCCCTGTAGGGGAAGACTGAGGCTGTTGCGGGAACTTGACATTGAGGGCAATGTTCAGTGACCAATCAATAGTGAACAAAATAGCCCAAGTTCTCTGTGGTGTCTTGTTCAGGCCCTTTGCCTCTTTTTTATGAGTCTCCCTAAAAATATCTTCTTCTAGGATTACTGTGAGAGGAAAGGAGCTAGCACAAAGTAACTCCTAAAAATAGTCCTTTCTCCAAAAGCCACCCATAAACAGGGAATTTTTAAAGAATAACTTTTTGGAATACAATATGTTACCCTTCTGCCTTAAATTGGTCTGCTGTTCCTCTAGATTTTACCTACCAGCAATGTTAATTTTTTAAAAAAATATTGTTATTATAAAGGGGATATACAGAGGGGTTACAGTTACATAAATCAGGTAAAGAGTATGTTTCTTTTTGGACAGTATCACCCCTTCCCTCATTCTCTCCCAGTTTTTCCCTCCCATCCCCAACCACAAGTATATAGTTCATTTTCAACATAGTGTCTACTGAGTACAGCTGCATTTATTCACCCTTTCTCCTACCATTTCTGTGCCCCCTTGCCCTCTAAAGACAGGTAAATGAATATATAGAACAGAAAGGAAGAAAATTAAAACAGCAAAAAAGAAAAAAACCCTCTTGTTTTCATTTCCTACTTTAAAACAATGTTTGTGCTCTCTGAGATCTGCTTTTAGATTTTTTGAACATTCAAATGGTGATGTAAGAAGGAGATATCAAACGTAATTTTTGGCAATCCAGCTATGGTTATAAGTCACAGGATTCACACACACTTGCAAATATAGAGGGGGTGGTTGTACTTAGAATATATAGCTATAATAAATTAGCTGATTACCCTGGTAATTTGAAAACAAGATTCAATGTCAGAAGAGACTTTCTTTGGTGCCTACTAGTAATTAAGGACCAGAATAATTGGACAAGCTTTCCTTTCTTTCCTGCCCTCCCTAACACATACAGACACATGAACACATGCATGCCCACACCTACACATACACCTCCTGTCCTCCTAGCTGGTCAGGAACACATTTCCCAGAGTGGCGATGAGGAAATGCTTCTTCCTGGACCACTACTCACCCCTCTCAAGCCACACAGCCAAGATCAGTTTTGATTAGGTAGGTGCAGTCCTACTTTTTCACTCTGCCCAGGCTCCTCAGTTCCTCAGGGAAGAGGTGAGTTGACCTGTTTTCTGTGTGTAAATAATAGGAAAAGGAACATAAGTTTCAGGAACCTTACCTAGACCCCTTAAGGCTCTAGGTCCTTTTTTTCCCCCCTTTCAGTCATGGGGCTTGAATTCAGGGCCTGGGTACTGTCCCTGAGCTCTTTTGCTCAAGGCTAGTGCTCTACCACTTTGAGCCACAGCACCACTTCTGGTTTTCTGGTGGTTAATTGGAGATAAGAGTCTCACGAAGAGCTGGCTTTGAACTGCAACCCTCAGATCTCAGCCTCCTGAATAGATTACAGATGTGAGCCACTGCTGCCCTGCTACCATAAGTCTTCTAAATTAAGATTTACAAGCTAAGTTTCAAACATTATCACTTTAAGTTCCTGTTCTTTTCCATCTAATTCTGTTTTCTCCTGTCATTTTTGTCATTCTAATTTCTTCCTTTGGTCATTGGCCTTTGTGTGTCCATGGGCTTTTAGAGGGAATAGAATTGAAGACATATTTAGTTTGGATTTAATGGGAACTATTACTCTCTGTTGCATGCTCTTTCACGTGGAGTTAAGCTTTTGCACTACAGTCCTAGTGTCCCAGCTATGACAACTTCCGAGTCAGGACAGGAGGTTGCAGGGATGGAGGACATCTTGTGATATGGACATAACTTCTGTTAGTCACCGGAAGTATAACGAGAATGGAGGAGAAACAGGGTTTGAAATCTTTGGAGACAGAAAGCAGTTTGTGGCAAGATCTTTACATTCAGTTTTCAAAAAGCCTAAGCAAGAGCTGGGCAAAGTAGCTCAATGGTAGAGCATGTGATTAACATGTACAAATGCCCCAGGTTCAAGCTACAGGTATGTTTTGTTTTAAAAAGCAAATACAAGTTGTTTTCTGTCAGGAATACACCTGAAAACACAGCTCGAACAATTATGCAGTATTTTCCTTTCATGTTTTGATAAGAAACACCTGCAACATTTATCAGAATTCCTGAGTGTGTAGGCAGCAAATCTGAAGAGTAATAGGCAAAGCAAGTATAGCAGCTCATGAGTGAAAAGAACAAAAACTTGGTCGAAAGATATCCAACTTTAAATAACAATCTTGAAAACATACATGACTTTACCAATAATGAGTTGCAAACCAGTGATATACTAGTCTCTGAAACTGATTCTAGAAAACAGATTTCAGTCAACCCTGCTAGCAGGAAGACTAAGAATTATCTCTGTTTTCTCCATGGAAAACATGGCAAAATCTTTTATATGGCCAAGTGATCAAAGTTAATTGATTCTAAATATTCCATTTCATATCAAATTTTGGATTGATTCTTTTGCCTCATTTGTCTTAGAGAGGTTTCCCTAAATTGCATAAGTCTGAGATCCCATAAACCCTGGATCTGTCCTTGGTGCTAACATTATTGAACATGTTTTCCAAACCTGCAAATAGATTCAAAGTAAAAAAAAAAAAAAAAAAATACAGAGACTCCAGAGACAGAGATGAAAAAATGGT